AACAACAACAACAACAACAACAACAACAACAACAACAACAACAACAACAACAATAATAATGATTATTATGTGTCCGTTCCAGTGACCACCTGTGAGTGTCCAGGCCAGACATGACAATGTGGGGGCGGGCAGACAGCGAGTACCAGTGTACCCTCACACCAGGCACTCTGGCTAAGGCGGGAAGGGAGCTGCGGGAAGACCCAGACACCAGACTGCTGGAGGTCAAGACCCTGAGGAAGCGAGTGGAGAAGATTCCAGGTTTGTACTCTAAGGTATCGAATAACCCCCCCCCCCCAACCCCCGCTTATTAATTTTCAGGGTTTTTTTTGAGCGGGTACTCTGGTGTGGTTTGCTCCTTATTTCCTCTCAAACATCTATCGTCCTTATCCCCCGTTCATCTTTCTCATCAAACATCTATCGTCCTGATCTCTCCTCCTTTTTTCCTATAAAACATATTATATCGTTCAGATCTCCCCTCCTTCTTTCCTATAAAATATATAATATCGTTCAGATCTCCCCATCTTCTTTCCTATAAAACATATTATATCGTTCAGATCTCTCCTTCCTCTTCCCTATAAAACATATTATATCGTTCAGATCTCTCCTTCTTCCTTTTCATCAAATATGCCTACCTATCGTCTTGATTTCTCCTCCTTTCCCATCAAATAGGCCTACCTATCGTCCTAATCTCTCTCCTCCTTCTTTCCTATCAAACATCTATCGTCCTGATCTCCCCTCATTCTTTCCTGTAAAACATATTATATCGTTCAGATCTCTCCTTCTTCCTTTTCATCAAATAAACCTACCTATCGTCTTGATTTCTCTCCCTTCTTTCCTATCAAACATCTGTCGTCCTGATCTCTCTCCCTTCTTTCCTATCAAACATCTATCGTCCTGATCTCTCCTCCTTCTTTCCTATCAAACATCTATTGTCCTTATCTCTCCTCCTTCTTTCCTATCAAACATCTATTGTCCTTATCTCTCCTCCTTCTTTCCTATCAAACATCTATCGTCCTTATCTCTCCTTCTTTCCTATCAAACATCTATCGTCCTTATCTCTCCTTCTTTCCTATCAAACATCTATCGTCCTTATCTCTCCTCCTTCTTTCCTATCAAACATCTATCGTCCTTATCTCTCTTCCTTCTTTCCTATCAAACATCTATCATCTTAATTTGATCA